GGATGGTTGGAAATGTCAATCTGAGACTTGGGTAAAATACCAGAAAAGTTGAACAATCCAAAGCAGGCAGGAAAGTGGAAATAGGGGATTGAGAAAACAAAGGAACAGACATAGATAATTAGAAGATGTTTTAAACTAAACAAAAATAAAAATATAACATATTGAGACTGTGGGATGCACCCGGGTGGTGGTGTGGCTCAGTGGTTGAGCATTGACCCATGCACCAAGAAAGAGGTCACAGGTTCATTCTTGGTTAGGGCACACACTTGGGTTGCAGATTTGATCCCCAGTAGGAGGAATGCAGGAGGCAGCAGGCAGATGTTTCTCTCTCATTGATGTTTCCATCTCTCTTTCCCTCTCCCTTTCTTCTCTTTCTAAAATCAATAAAAACTTATAAAAAAAAGACTGTGGGATGCAAATAAAGCAGTTCTTAGAGGGACCTTTAAAGTATTAAATGCTTATGCTAGGAAATAAGAAAGGTCTCAAATCAATTTAAGCTTCAAGCTTGAGAAACCAGTAAGAGACGTAAGTACAACAAACTCAATGCAAGCAGAAGTAAAGAAATCATATAGATATGAACACAAATCAATGAAACTGAAAACAGGAAATCAATGAAAAAATCCATTAAACTAAAAGGTGGTTCTTTAAAAAGGTCAATAAAATTTATAAACTCTAGCATGATTGATAAAGAGAAAAGGCAAAAATTAACAATTTCAGGAATAAAAGAGGAGACCCTCTCTTATTATATAGGAGATCCTATGTAATAAAAGCCTAGGTGGCATCATGCACAACATAATCACAAGATGGCCACCACAAGATGGCCGGCCTCACATCGTCACAAGATGGCCATCCCAAGATGGCTGCCACAAGATGGCCGGCAGGGGATGGCAGTTGGGGGCGACCAGGCCTGCAGGGGAGGGCAGTTGGGGGCGACCAGGCCTGCAGGGGAGGGCAGTTGGGGGCGACCAGGCCAGCAGGGGAAGGCAGTTGGGGGAGATCAGGCCAGCAGGGGAGGGCAGTTGGGGGAGATCAGGCTGGGAGGGGAGCAGTTAGGAATCAATCAAGCCAGCAGGGGAGCGGTTAGGGGGCAATCAGGCAGGCAGGCAGGCAAGCACTTAGGAACCACAGTCCCAGATTGTGAGAGGGATGTCCAACTGCCGGCAGTCGGACATACCCCAAGGGGTCCCAGATTGGAGAGGGTGCAGGCCGGGCTGAGGGACACCCCACCCCCCATGCATGAATTTCATGCACCGGGCCTCTAGGTAAAACAATAATAAGGAGACTCTAGAAACATTTAAGACAATAGTAAGGAAACACTATGAATAACCAGGTGCACATAAATTCTACAACTTAGATGAAATGTAACAATTTCTCAAAAACCACAAACACCTAAACTTACCCAAGATAAAATAGGTACCTGAATAGTCCTATAACTGGTAAATAAATTGAATCTATAGTTTAAAATCTTCCACTAAAGAAGATACCAGACCTGGACTTTATTCACTGGCATATTGTAATAATTATTTTAAGAAGACATCCACTAATTCTAAACAATGTCCTTGGGAAAATAAAGAAGAGGCAACACTTCTAATATAATTTTATATGGCTGTTATTATTCTGATACCAAAGTTAAACACACTACAAGAAAACTACAGACCAATATTGCTCATGAATACAGATCAAAAACATTAGAAAATAAAATTTAACAATATATAAAACTAACGGGCTTATCGAGCAAATGCACAGCTGATTCAATATTCAAAAATTAGTCAATGCAATCCAGTATATTAACAGGTGAAGGAGGACAAACCACATGTTCATATCAGTAGATACAGAAAAAACATTTGACAAGTTTTAACACCCATTCATGGTGAAAATTATCCACAAACAAGGATTAAAATGAACATCCCCAACTTGAGAATGACAGTAAAAAAATCCTACACCTACCATCATACTTAATGGTCTAAGTTTGGGAACAAGGCAAGAATGTCTTCTCTTGATATTCATTCCTATTCTACATTAAACTGGAAGTCCTAGCTATCGTAATAGCAAGAACAAGGAATAAGAGGGCTTCAGATTAGGAAGGAAAAATAGAAACTATCCCCATTTGCAGATGACATACTTGTCTATGTAGAAAATCTCAAGGAATCTCAAAAACAAAACAAAACACCCACACACAAAAAAACTTTGAACAACTGAAACACCTTTTTTTTAAAAGGAGAGATTATTTTATTAGTTTGCTAGGGCTGCCATAACAAAGTAGCACAGATTGGTGACTTAAACAATAAAAATTTATTTTCTCACAATTATGGAAGCTAGAAGCCTGAGATCAAGGTGTCAACAGGGTTGGTTTCTTCTGAGGCCTCTCTCCTTGGCTTGTAGATGGCTGTCTTTGTGTCCTGATCTCCTTTTCCTCTAAGGATACTAGTCAGATTAAATCAGAGACCACCTTAATGACCTCATTTTAACTTAACTACCTTTTTAACGTCCCTATCTCTGAACAGAGTCACAGTCTGAAGTACTGGAGGTTAGGACTTCCACATATAAATGTTGACAAGACACAATCCAGCCCATGACAATTATTAACAATAGCTCCAAAGAAAAATAAATAATTTATACATCTAAAAACCCATGTGCAAAATCTGTATACTAAGGACTTCAAAATATTATTTTAAAAACCATAGATGTCCTAAATAAATGGAGAGACATACCATGTTGGTGGATTATAAGATTAAACATAGTAAAATGTAAATCCTACACAAATTGACATAAAGATTTATTGCAATTGTACTAAAATGCTATCAGGATGTTTTGTAGATAAGGACAAGCTGATTCTAAAATTTACATAAAAATTAAAGAATTTAGAATTAAAAAAAGAAAATTATAAAAACAGTTAGGATAAAAAATTAGTAAAACAATTTTGCAGAAGAATAAAGTTCGTGGATTCAACCTGATTCAAAGACTACCTTAAAGCTACAGTAATCCAGACAGTGAGATATTGGGGAAGGAATATACTTATAAATCAGCAAAACAGAATAGATCATCCAGAAAAAGACCCACACAAGTTAGATTAACTGACTTTTTGACAAAGGTGCAAAGATAATCAAAAGGAGAAATAATATGTGTTTTTTTTCCTAACAAATACTGGAATAATTAAACATTCTATCCAAAAAGTGAACCTTGACCTAAACCTCACACTTTATACAAAAGTTAACTCAAAATGAATCATTGGTCTAAAAATAAAATGTAGAATTATATAAAAAGTTAAAAAGAAGACAAAAAACAAAAGAGAAAAGTCTTACCGCTATGGGATTTGACCTGACACCAACACACAATATAGATAAAAGAAGACTATTGATAAATTGGAATTCACCAAAATTAGTAAGCTTGTTTTGCCAAAGGCACTCTTGAGAAAATGAAAAGAAAAGCTACATTCTGAAAGAAAATGTTTGAAAAACACATACCTGATAATCTGTATCCGGAGTACATTAAGATCTCCCAAAACTCAACAGTAACAAAACAAACAACTGGATTTTTAAAATGTGAAAAATATATTTCATTATAGAGTCCACATGGAAGGCAACTAACCACATGAAAAGATGTTCATCATTAACTATTAAGAAAATTCAAACTAAGAAGGTAATGAGACATATAGAAAGGCTAAAATAAAAAAATACTGACACTACCAAGTGCTAATGAATGGCAACTGGAATGCTCCTATGTTGCTGGTATGAATTCAAAAATGGAACAGGCACTCCAGAAAATCATTTGGTAGTTTCTTACAAAGTCAAATATATACTTATCATATGACCTAGTTATCCCACTCCTCAATATTTATCCTAGAGAAATAAAATCTTATGTGCACACAAAAACCTGTACACAATTATTTACAGCACTTTTCATAGTTGCCCGAAACTAGAAACAACTTAAATGTCTGTTAGTGAGTGATGGATAAACAAACTGTGGTATATTCCTACAGTAGGATACTGCCCAGTGATGAACCACTCACACACACACACACACACCAACAATTTGGATGAATCACAAAGGCACTATGCTTGGTGAAAGGAGCCAGTCACAAAAGAACATACTGTATGTTCCTTTCTGCATGACATTTGAGGAAAAATTGATGGTTGTCAGTGGTTGCCAGGGGTCAGGAAGGAGAAGGCATAGCATGTGACTACAACAAGCAGTAAGAGAGAGAAGTGTTTTGTTTTGTTTTGTTTTTTAGGGGGGTAGGAATGTGATGAAACATTTTTTATCCATAAAAAAGTCTCCATTTGTAACTGCTGGGATTGAAGAACAAGGTTTGCTTCCAAGGTGCATGTTAATTACTCTTCTTTTAATTAAATTTATTTTAATAATCAGCTGTACAAGTAGTTTGTGGTATATATGTGGAAAATCATGCCCTAATTGATGAATCAGTTCTTCAAATGGGAAGGAGGAAGGAGTACATATTACCCACATGCCAGTGTTTTGCTGTAGGTGGAATTCAGTGAAGAGCTGGGCATTTTGGATCTGCCTTTCTCCTGAAGGGAGTTTTTTCTCTGAAGGCATCAGAGGGGTTTTGTCCATGGTCAAATCTTTGTAGGCAACCAGATGGCTGTTCCAGGAAACAGCTTGGGCAGGGGTGAGTTGTATAACGCCCCCCCCCAACCTTTCCTGTAGCAAAAATTGTGAGCCCTCTCACGACATTTAATCACAACTCTCTTCTGCTTTGTATGGAAATCAAAGCGACAGGATTTTCCCGATTTTATTTATGGAGACAGACATCAGAGGAGCAAGCAAGAGCTCTAAACAAATACATCTTAACCACGAGGCTTGCATGTGTTGCAGATTTTCTGTCCCAGGACAGATGTGCAACCTCGCTCTTCAGAAGGGACCTGAGACCTCTAACCCCTTGCTAAGAACAAAAGATAATAGTCTCAGTTGTGGTATCACATGTGTTTCCCATGAGAAGGGAGACTCTCCAGGGTCACCTCCCATTTGTCAGACTGTCTTGTGGGCACCCCCTGGTGGTCACAGGTGGAGTGGCTCTTTGTTCTTTGCATCTAGAAGTTCTGGGGCTGGAACACTGGTGTAAAACAGTTTTTGTTTGTTTTTTTATGGTCAGCAAGAAAGAAATAACTGACCACCAAGAGAAGAAGCAACAGAAAATGAAGTATCTTCTGACCAAATGGTGTTGACAGGTGGTCATCAGAGCTCGGAGTCCTTGTATTTTTCTCCAGCTGCGTTAGCAAGTTTTTTTTGTACCTCCTCCCCCTCCCCATGCTTTACTCTTCTCATGTGGAAAATAGGAAACTTAAACGAGGTTATTTCTAAGTGTGCTTTCGGCTTTACACGGAGCTACTATCTACTATCTATATGTTTAGTAGGTGTCTTCTACTGAGGTGTTGGATGCCATTTCTGCCACCTGCCTGCACCAGCCCTGAGGAATGGAAGAAAATGTGAAGAGGTCATGTGATAGCTCTTTGACCTCTGTCTTTTAGCCTTTTCTATATGTGGCAGCAGGAGCTTCCATAACATTTCAAAGAGACGATTGTGATTAGAGCATAATGAAAGCCAATCGAAGCAGAGTTTAGTTCCTTCCCAAAGGCTCCCCTCCAATCACTATTAACACCCACTCATTTGGGAGAGACATTGGATGCAAGTTTAAATCCTGCTGAAACCTGAGGGCAAGACCCTCTTTTACACCTATGGGTCCCCCCTCGGTTTAAGGCTTCCTAAGTCCTGAAGCTATAAGTTGTATTTTCAAAGCACATCTCACAGTTAGTTACATCTTACAGATAACAAGGCAATCGATCCGACAATGCCCTGGGGATTTTCAGTATTTGTAAGCAGAGCTACTTAATTGCTCTCTACCTCCATTTCCTTGCCTTTGGAGCTTTGAAAGTCAGAGATCCCATGGGGACATGCTTTGTAAAGGGCCACACAACATTAGTGAGGGATAGTAAAGGCGATTTCACAGTCAGATCCCAAGATGGTACCTGGAAGTTAAAGTGCTTTCCTACAGAACACCAGCAATTACTTCCAATGTTTCTTGGATTAGAATTATAATTCCCCTTCGTGCAACTTGTCCTCATTTGAAGGAAGATAGGTAATGTTTCTTAGGGAAAAACACATCCTACAAGTGAGGAGCTGACTACATAGAAACCCAGAAAGAATCACAAGAAATAATGCAATTCTCATGGATCTGGCTATTAAAAAAATACAATATTTGTTTGAAGAAGAGGACAGAAAAACATTCAAGGTGAATGTTAAATACCCTTAACATTTTCTTTTTAACAATCAACTCCAAGAACAGTCCATGGCAGGTGTAAGAAAAATCAGATCCAAACTGATGAACCCAGTTCATCAAGTGGGAGTTATAAAGTACTTTTAAAGATTAAATAAGAGGAGATGTGTTTTAAATGCCTAACAAAGTAAATGACCAAGAAGCCGTAGTTGCTTAGGAATAGCATCATATTGAGGGAGCCCTGTATGTTTTTGGAAGAAACGTATGGGAGGAACGAACTGCACTGGGAGAGAAATGATGATGAGCTTTCTCTCTAGAGGGGGAACCTCATTATAGGGGGGTCCCCCGTGTATAGTCTATTATCCTGGAAGATGAGCTCTTTCTACCTTCGTAGTTTGATTCTGAGTTTCCTGCCTTGTGACCCTTGAGCCATTGAATTTCCAAGGAGTGACCTCCTTTTCTTGAACCAGTGCCCAGTCCCTTCAGCACCTGTCTTTTTCCACAGGTCAGCCTTGGTGTTCCTCCTGCTTTACATGCACACCCCCCACCTCGACTCTGCCCACCATCCCATCCTTTGCGCCCAGAACGATCCAGGGACTGTATCTCTGCTTTCTTGGCCTCTGTCTCTCATCACGGTCCAGTTGCTCCCTCATACTGCCTGCTTTTGCTCCGAATTGTTCGGCACAATGCCTGGCAGGTTGGGGATAAAGCTTATGGCACGTGGCTGTGTACCTTCCCTCTGAGGACTCCTTTGATCCTGGGGAATGGCCGGTGGTGGGGCATCTACTCAGAGACATGAAGATGGTGGCGCCTACCCCAGAGCGCACACCTAGCTGTTCTGCGCCGCCAGCAAAGACTGGCTTTGCCAAGTTTCCTGCCTTGCTCTGTCATATGTTGTCTCTTCCTACAGTAATCCGGGGACTCTTTTCATCCCAGGGTTTTATTCCAAATGGAATGTTAAGAGGGTTCAGATGGGAGAGACAGGTCAGGGCCGTGGGGGTGGGGAGAGGTGTGAGCTTGTCCAGATCTGTGGCTTTGCCAGGGCTGTTTTTAAGTTGACACAGGGCTAAATAAAAAGCCCCTTGCTTTGATCTCAGGGACTTCCTGGGTAGACTGTCTGATTAGATAAAGATCACGGATCCCCCACCCCCATCCTTTAGGATGTATTCAAAGCTTTGCAGCCATTCTGCATCCTGGGCTCCCGTCTCCTTCCCAAAGTCTGCCTCTCTCTGTCTCGTTGGGTCCTTCCCTGGGTCTTGGGTTTTTCTCTGTTTGAACAGGCAAAGGAGCCTGAGAAAATAAGGTTCTTATTTCCCCTTTAATTCTTAAGTTGTTTAGAAACAAAGTGGAGGCTTTGTTTGAGAGCCTCATATGGACCTCGTCTGGTCCTGGGCATCAAAGGGAATTGGTCTCTGTTTGCAACATGGTCAGCGGCTGGGATGCTAGGAGCAGAGTTGTCGGCAGGTGGAGGGTTTGGAGCGAGAAATATAGTGAGTCCCTGCCTAGGTTCCTCAGTGGAGACAATGGGTGTGAGGTGTACGTGTGTGGGGGGAGATTCTCTTCTCCTAGAGCAACTGAAACTCTAACCTAGATGGGGACACCCAAGAGACACCCAGAAGCTGTCTTTGATGATGAGGAACTGACTTGGTCTTGGGAGTGGGGTCATTTTAAGAAATGCTTGAACCTGAAGAGTTGCCAAATTGAAAATCCTCTAGGCCAGGCCACAGCTTTCCAGCTTTGTTGGGGAGGAGAATCTCCTTATGACATTAGAAAAATGAGACTTTGCAAATGTTTTGTTTTACTTAAGCCTCTGTGCTGACCACTGTTCTAAGTGATACACACACAATTTGCAAAATGTCATTGTTAACTCATTAAATCTTCATGACACCCCTTGGAGCAACAGTACCATTTGGTAATCATATATTACAAACGAGGAAACCAAGGCACAGAGAAGTTAAGTGTCTTTCTCAAGGTCACACAGCGAGCACGTGGCAGATTAAGGATTCAAACCCAGACAGGGTAGCCAAAGAATCTGCCTGCCCACCCCCGACAACTCAACACACACAACACACACACACTTAGAAAATCACTAAGAAAATACATATGGAAAGAAGTTATAAATTTATGAATTCAGTAGTATTTTAAAAATGTTTACACACACATGAAAAATAGTCACTTGTGGGAGGCAGTTGAATGTAGCGGTTTATTCATCAGTTTCACAAACATTTCTTTGAGAGCTCACTGTGTGTGCCAGGCCCTGAGATAGGTGCTGGGATGGGATGGTGCCTGAAACACACCAGGGCCCTGTGTGGAAGCTGAGGCAACAGGCCTGGGCCCAGAGGCCAGGGTCACGTTCACACTGCAATGCCACCGAGGGTTTTCGATGGTGTGGGGCCAGGGTCCTGGAACTTCCTGGAACACAGCCTTTTCCTCCTTGGACCCAAGCAGCTATCATCACTTATCCCAGTGATGGTGAACCTTTTGAGCTCGGCGTGTCAGCATTTTGAAAAACCCTAACTTAACTCTGGTGCCGTGTCACATATAGAAATGTTTTGATATTTGCAACCATAGTAAAACAAAGACTTATATTTTGATATTTATTTTATATATTTAAATGCCATTTAGCAGAGAAAAATCAACCAAAAAAATGAGTTCGCGTGTCACCTCTGACACACATGTCATAGGTTTGCCATCACTGGCTTATCCAGAGAGGAAAAGCCCTGCTCTGGGCAGTGAGCCCCAGAGGGACTTCTTACCTGCTCCGCCCACACTGGACATAAGAATTTTGACTACAATTGTCATAGTCAGGATGCACATGGGTTAGACACCTGTGGGAGAAACTACTAATTTTCTCTGCAGTATCTTCTTTATTTGTCACAGAATCGTTATTTGTTAGCTGGGGCACCTGGCTGCCTCAGATAAAGTAATATATCTCATCGTCTTTTGCAAACTGGGTGTGGCCGTATGACTAAGTTTTGGTCCATGGAATGCAAAGAGAAGTGGTGTCTGTAACTTCTGAAAAGCCCTTTTTCACTTCTTGCTTTTTTTTTTCCCTAACTAGGAAATGAATGTGATGACGTGATGGCTGGAACGTTGGCAGTCATCTTAGACCCAGGAACTGAAAATGGCTTGAAGAGAAATGTGGAGCAAAGAGATTGAAGGAACTTGGATCCCATACCGACCTGGCACTATCTCCTGCAGACTTGTTTTTCACAAGAGAGGAATAAACGTCTATCTTTCTTAAGCCATGGTTATCTTGTTTTTCTCTAACCTGTAGTTAAACCTAATGTAGTTAAACCTAATGCGAGTTGATACAGCATCCCTCTTAAATAATATGTGATGTGGTTTTATTCTGAGTTTTATCTGAACCTTTGTAAAGTACGTAATGTCTGTCCAATATGTTTCTTTTCTCTTTAATCAGTTAAGTTCTCTTGTTTTGAGCCTTGTTTGTCTCCAAGTTCTGCCCTTGGGTTTGCAAACACAGGATGCTGCCACTGCTTTTAGGGTTAAAACGCCTCCTCAAACACAAAGCTAGTGTAAGTATTTCACACAGCAGTCTGAACTCTCTTGGAATTTGGGAACTATATTTGCTTAATGCATGCTCTACCATTTTTTCCATGGATTTGAGTCTTAGGCTCCGGTAAAAACAAAAAACAAACAACAACAACAACATCTGGTGCTTTTCTAGGGCCCCTGAGCCCCTCATCAGTACTGGGGGGTGGAGTGGGGCCCTCACTGCAGGGCATGGAGAGTGGGGCCACAGGAAGGGGAGCTGGGCCTTTCCCTCAAGCTTCATCTGCTGCCTCCACCCCAGACCTTGGAGTCCGGGCCACCTTCTCAAAGCAGGCTTGGCAGATTCTGTTCTTAGGTGACTTTTCAGAACTGCCCGTGCTTCCTTCCCTCAGCCCCCGAGACCCTCATGCTCACTGCAGAGCCCGGCACAGTCTCCATGGGACACAGGCTGGTCAGAGAGCCCCCTTTCTTTAACCAGACTCCAGCCATATGTGTGCCAGGGGCCTGCTGGGCCTCAGGCCCAGGGATGACAGGTTGCCATGCTCCTCCAGGGGTCTCTCTCTGTCTCTCTATTTTTATATCTACTAGTAACTACCTATCATCTATCTATCATCTATCTATCTATCTATCTATCTATCTATCTATCTATCTACCTATCCTATCTATATGTCATCTATCTATCTATCATCTATCTATCTATTTATCTATCTATCTATCTATCTATCATCTATCTATCATCTATCTATCTATCTATCTATCTATCTATCTATCTATCTATCTCTCGTGTGTGTGTGTGTGTGTGTGTGTGTGTGTGTGTGTGTGTGGTGGGGATGAACTTAACTTGCAATGATCTTTTTCCTGTAGGTATTATAGCAACCTTAGAATTCTGAAAACCAACCCTCTTTCTTTTGGACAAATAAATGAGGTAGGATATGGGATTTTTCAAGCCGCCATTTCACCTTTCTTTTTTCTCTTTAGTTCTCTCTTTTCTCTGACCTGTGCCTTGTCTAGCTCTTCTTCTGCTCTCCGACTGACTATTCCCTGTTAGGACTAAGTGAGGCTCATCCCTCAGCCTTGGCTCTGGGACACCCAGACGTGACGGGATCCCCGGCCCTGGGGTGTCTGAGCCGTCTTCTGTGGTTCCTGTTTCTGACTCGATGTAACAACACCTGGCGTGCTGTGCTCACATCCGGTTCATCCAGCCGAAGCCAGCAGGGGCTGATAGTCTAGTTGTTCTTCTGCTGTTTGGTTTTGGCAATTAAATTTTTCAGGGCAAATGGTGGGCAAACTCAAATGCTGGGTGATGGCGAGACATGGCCCCCAGAAGGACTGAGGCCCGGGAGAAGCCCGTTGGTTTCAGAGGACCCTGCTGGGATTCAGAAGGTGCTCAGAGGAGAACCCAATCTTACTCCCTCGCACTCCCACCTAGCGGCTGGCTTGATGCAGGGAAGGGGCGCAGAGGGAACAAAAGTAATCAGGGATACCATCGTCACATTCAAAGGACAAACAGTGAAGGAAGAAATATGGGTTTGGAGCCTCACATATCCAGGTTTCAATATGGCTCTACTCCTATGATGGTGGGCAAGTCTTCCCTGAGCTCCGGGTCCTCACCTGGGCCATTTCAACAGGTGATTGAGATGATTTCCTGATCCAGTGTCCAGCATGAAGGAGATGATCAGGAAGCGGGTGTTTGAGCCTGAACTGGGAGCCAGAGGCTGAGGGTTGGCATTTTCATGCTGCCTCCCAGCTCCTTGGAGTCAGGGCTGCAGGGGAGAGGGAGCTGGGCGTCAGAAGGGGGTGGTGGGGAGGAGGTTGGCTGGAGGCTCTGTTTACCCCAGACGGTGCACACGAAAGAGGGGGAAGTGGGGAGAGGCAGTGCATGCTTCTCTTGGAGGAACCGAGGTGGCTAGTAGGAGTGGCTTTACCACCTGGGACGGGTGACTACAGGTGTCCCGACCACCATCAGCCCATGTCGCCTGCACACCCTCCTCTGTGTGTGGACTCACACGTGCCAAGGGGCGTTAGAATAATGACCTTGTACAATGCCATCCACACTTACTACATCATTTGTTTTTTCTTTTCAGTTTTGCTCACTTTTAATACTTAGTTTAAAACATATGGCCTATACCGAAAATAATATAACAATTGTACATTACCCAATAATCAGATTCAACTAGTATTAACCTTTGGCCATGTACATATTTTTAGGTTTCTTTTTTTTAAAAAAAGGAAATAAGATATTTCCTTTAAAGTTTTCCACATCTCCCCCGCCCACTGCCATCCATTACCAGAAGAAAATGTTATCTTGAAGTTGGTGGTTAGCCTTCCTGTGCATAATTTAGTACCTTTATTACCTAAGTCAGTATCCAGACATCATACGGTATTGTTTTGTGAGTTTTAAAATGATTGAAATTGTATAATACTTTACAAGTCTATTTGCAATTTGCGTTTTTACACATTATACTTTTATGACACATCTGTGACAAGATTCATAGCTCTAGATCAGCGGTTCTCAACCTGTGGGTCACAACCCCTTTGGGGGTCGAATGACCCTTTCACAGGGGTCGCCTAAGACCATCAGAAAACACATATATAATCACATACTGTTTTTGTGATTAATCACTATGCTTTAATTATGTTCAATTTGTAACAATGAAATTGGGGGTCACCACAACATGAGGAACTGTATTAAAGGGTCACGGCATTAGGAAGGTTGGGAACCACTGCTCTAGATTATTTATTTTAACAGCTGAATGGCATTCCATCTCAATAATACAACATGGTTTATTTGGCCATTCCTCTGTTGGTGGACAAGTTAAGTTGTTTCTAATTTTTGATAAGACAAAAAAGGGCCCACGGGAGTGAAATTAGCGGAATTCTGCCATGACAGCTTCAAGTTTACTAGGTGTAGTCAAATGATTCTCTAACGTACATCACCACAAACAGTGGCAATAAGCACTTTGTTTTCTCACCAACTTGCCACCGCTGGGTATTATCAGATTTGTTTTGCCAAATAAAATGGAGCAACTCTGGTTTATTAATTACAACCACGGGAATTCTTCACACCCTCATCTAACCCCGTGCTACCTGTCACATTGTATGATTGTCATCCGAGTTAGTCAGCCCAATGAACCACTCATTTGTGACAAGGGTTTCTGTTCATTCTTTTCTGTGTCTCCAGCAGGGTAAAGGGTGACATGCACATAGTAAGTGCTCTGTACACAGGTGGTGGCTTAAATCTAGAGAATGAAGAGATGAAAGAACAGAGTGATTAGGGGAGACTTAGTGTAGGGGTAGAACCAAGGCTGGTCAAAGAATCAGAACCTTCAAACACTCCATGTCAACCAATGGAATAATTTTAGAAGACTTTTGAGCAGTGTCTACTAAAGTTGTGCATGCCCTATGACCTGTGAACTCCGCTCCCAGTAGAGGTGTGTGCATATGGGCACTAAAAGACACCCGGACTGTTCACAGCAGCACATATATAAAAGCTCCAAAATGGCAACCACCCAAATGCCTACCTATGGTAGAACAGTTAAATAGAAAAGTGCAATACTAGACAGTGATGAGAATGAAGGGCCTATATCTGCAAGCAGGGGTATGGAAGACCCACACAATATGATGTTGAACAAAAGATGCCAGACCTCAAGGAGTATATGCTGTGTAATTCCATTAACTTGAAGTTCAAAATAATGCAAAAAGAACCTAGCATAAAAATCATGATACTTTTGTCTAGCCAGTGTGGCTCAGTGGTTGAGTGTTGACCCACGAACCAGGAAGTCACTGTTTGATTCCCAGTCAGGGCACATGCCTGGGTTGCAGGCTCGATCCCCAGTAGGGGGTGTGCAGGAGGCAGCTGATGGATGGTTCTCTCTCATCATTGATGTTTTATCTCTCTCTCTCTCTCTTCCTTTCCCTGAAATCAATAAAAACGTATTTTTAAAAATTGTGATACTTTTGTGGGAAGTGGGTCATGAGTGTAATGGGGCACAGGAGTGCTGGTAATGTTTTATTTATTTTGTATTGAGGTAAAATGAATATATGATGAAATTCAATTTTAAGCGCACATTCAAAGAATTTAAACAAATACATACAGTTGTGTATTTACCACCATAATCAAGATATGGACCATTGTTATCACCCCAGAGAGCTCCCTTGTGAACCTTATGTTCTATTTCTTGACCTTGGTCATAGGTTTTGGGCAGTTCTCAACCTGTGGGTCGCGAACAATGAAAATACATCCTGCATATCAGATATTTACATTACAATTCATAACAGTAGCAAAATTACAGTTATGAAGTAGCAACGAAAATAATTTTATGGTTGGAGGTCACCACAACATGAGGAACTGTATTAAAGGGTCGCCTCATTAGGAAGGTTGAGAACCACTGGTTACATGATGTGTTCACTTTGTGAAAATTCATTGAGCTGCACACTTATGACACGTGCATTTTTCTAAATACATATTATTCATCAATAAAATGTTCCAAGAATATTTAAAAAAAGATTGGCCCAAAGAATGGCAATTGGCTGCAAGATGGTAGATTGGGTGGCAAAAAGAATGGGGAGATGGAATACCAAAGAAGAGGGAACAGAAAGTCAGTCTGAACTTTTATCTCAAGCCTTAGATTTATGCACTTGCTGTGGGTAAGGGGTGTGAACCAGACTTGATCTTCCAGAACTGAATCTCTGCTGTCTTCCCCTTTCCCCTCTTTATAACATCCTGTAACT